GGGAGCCGGTCCCCCGTCTCGTCTGACCCCTTACATGACTTAAGAGAATGAAAGTTTTGAAATGTTATCTTTGACTTTTCGTTTTTCAGTTGGTTGGCTTCGTTATTTCGCAGAGGATGGAAAAAGACATTAGAAGTGGAGGACATTTACGATCCTCCCAAGAGAGACCGCTCGGAGTTGTTGGGCGACAAATTAAACATGTGAGCATTCAACTCTCCCTTTAGATTTGTGAGAAAACAATTTTTTATTGTTCATCAGCAATTTTTAATTATTTTCTTTCAGGTACTGGGAAAGAGAACTGGCCTGGCAGAGTGAAAAGAAGGGCAGATCTCCAAATTTGGTTCGAGCTCTAACAAAAACATTTTCTACAGATTTAATTCTCCTATCTTTCCCTCTTATTATTGAAATGTCTTTAAAGTATGTAAATATACCAAGTTTTATTTTATATTAATTTTTGTAAATATCAACTTGTTTTATTAACGGGTGTTTCTTTCTTTTTATAGTGTTATACAAAGTTTACTCCTTGGTAAGCTCTTGTCACACTTTAGGCCTACTCCATTAATTTCGAGAGAAGACGCCATGATATATGCGGGTTCAATGATGACATGTGTCCTCATCTCAATTATTTGTCGTAACCGCTATGAGATTACTGCTTATCACACAGGATTACGCATAAGAGCAGCCTGCTGTTCTGTTATCTATCGCAAGGTGAAACATTATTTAAGATAATATTGTAATAAAAGGTTCTGTTGTGCAAGAATATTTTTAATAAAAGGATTTTTTGTTTGCAGGCTCTTAAGCTGAGTAGTGGGGCTATGGGAGATATGGCCACAGGTCAAGTAGTTAATTTGATCTCCAATGACGTAAGTCGTTTTGACATCATGTGCATTTTTTTCCACTACATGTGGGGAGGTCCTGTCCTTTCTGCTGTTATAGTTTTTCTATTTTGGTGGGATGGTATGCTGCCAGCCTTGTTAGGATTGTGTGTTGTGTTTGCAGTAACACTAGCTCAATGTAAGTAATATATGCATGCTGCCTTCTTCTATTTGGGCTTTTTTATCAGGCCACATAGTTTTATTCTGATGACTTATTACAGCTTATATTGGAAGACTCTCATCCACATTCCGGCGCCTTATTGCGCTCAGAACTGATGAACGTGTTAGACTTGTAAATGAAGTTATTTCTGGTATACAAGTAATAAAGATGTATGCATGGGAAAGGCCTTTTCTTTCTCTAATGAGGATAGCTCGAAAGTAATTATCAATCTATCATAATTCAAGACTTACATATGTATTTCATTTGAATTTCAGGCTACAAAGATGTGTTTTTCTTTTTCAGGCGAGAATTGTTCCAGTTGAGAAAAGTGGCAGCTGTGCGTGCAGTATTCATGACATTTCATATGTGCACCACGCGTATGGCTCTGTTTGTTGCTGTCCTTTCTCTTTCTATCTTTGGAACACAAATTACCTCTGATAAGGTACTTCAAATATTTTCATACATTGGAATTTATTTCAGAAGGATCAAACTTATTTACGATGTCATTATTTTGTTAGGTCTTTGTGATCCATTCTTATTTTAATATCCTACAATGGGGATTAACGGGAATGTTTGTTCGTGGCACTGCTGAACTCTCAGAAAGTTATACTTCAGTAAAGAGAATTCAAGTAAGTCTATTTTATCAGAACAGTGTTTAATTCCTCATAAAACCCAAGTACATGTGTGTTATTTTTTTCACCAGCAATTTTTGATGAAACCTGAGTTTCATTCTGATACTATTGATAATAGTATCAGGTCAAGCATAAAAGAGAAAAACGGCAAATCAGATGAATCAGAGACCCTTTTGAATGGCAAAACTTCTTCCATTCAAAGTTCTGATAGTGCTTCAAGTCTTGTTCTTGAAAATGTAGAGGCAAAATGGAACTCAGACTCAGCTACTCAATTAACTCTGGATAAAATTAGTATTGAGGTTCCCAAAGGCCGATTGTTGGCCATTATAGGGCCCGTTGGAGCAGGAAAGGTAAAATACTTTTTCCTTTTCCCATTTTACTTATATCACCAAAATATAACCATTATAATTGTGCATCTTTTTTCTTTATTAGAGTTCTATCCTTCAAGCTATTCTGGGTGAATTAAAACTATCTAAAGGTTGTGTTAAAGTTGGTGGCAAGATTTCATATGCAAGTCAAGATGCTTGGGTGTTTGCTGCAACTGTGAGGCAAAACATTCTTTTTGGATCACCGTACGATAAGAAACGATATGATAAGGTAAATAAAATTGCTTCTGATTGTTTTGAAACTAGGCATCAACCGCCACATAATCTTGGTCTCATGTTGGTATTGCGTGTATGGTGATTTTATTGGGATATAAAATTAAATCTAAATTTAATACTAGGTTGTGAGAGCATGTGCTTTGCTGAAAGATTTTGAACAGTTCCCGGAAAGTGATTTAACAGTTGTTGGTGAGAGGGGTGTTTCACTTTCAGGTGGGCAAAGAGCTCGAATTAACTTAGCCAGGTAAATAAAATTAATGTCTATTCCGGTCTATTCTAATAAACTTATTTATGATCCTAGAGATAGCAATAAATAAATTATTACAATTTTAGGGCTGTTTACCGTGAGGCAGATGTTTACCTTCTTGATGACCCATTGTCTGCTGTGGATACTCACGTTGGACAGCACTTATTTGATGAATGTATGCGTGGAGCTTTAAGAGAAAAGACAGTAATTCTTGTTACACATCAATTGCAATACCTGAAAAATGCTGATCTTATACTTTTGATGCAAAATGTAAGTGCATACCTCCATATTTGATCTCATCTTAAAGCTATGCCCAAATTGTAAATATAGAGATTTTTCTCTTTCAGGGACGTAGCTTAGCAAAGGGTACTTATCAAGAAATTATCAACAGCGGAATCGATTATGCAAAACTGTTGGAGGAGGAGGAGGAGGATACAGATGATACGAAATCTGAGACTTCTCAAACCAATGAATCGTTGCTAGCTTGTCAGGATCCCACATTACGGAGATCAATATCAAGAGAGGTGAGTCTTCACATTTTAAAAAAATGGAGATCTAAAATGGGATCTATGTGTCTTAAAAATTTCCCATTGTTAATCTGTAGAGAAAAAAGTCGAATGTGTCTTCATTCACTTCATCGGTGCAAAGTGTTTGTTCTGAAAAGTCAGAAGACAAAGAGGAACAGCAAGCTACATCCCCTCTTGTGGATAAATTGGAAGCATCTTCCAAAGGAATGGTTAAAGGATCAGTGTATATGCAATATGTCAAAGCTAGTGGGTCATTGATGTTGTTCCTTGTCACGGTATTCTTCTTCCTCATCACACAATTTGCCGCCTCTGGTACTGACTATTGGGTTGCATTTTGGTAAGTTTTGTGTTTACTTAAACTTCATATTCTTACAAGTCTTTAATGCTTTATGCAGCACCATAGACAATTTTCATAAACTGTGATTTTTTTCATCCTGCAGGACCAAAATTGAGGACAGTAGAAACGCTTCTGTTCAAGAAAACAACATGTCAAACTCTTCCAATATTCAAGCAGATAATAGCACATTTAGATCATTTTTCCCTTATCTCGATCTGAATACTGAAAACTGTGCATACATTTATGCTGGGATTGTTTTAGCTACACTTGTCCTTTGCATAGTCAGGTCAACAGTATATTACAGCTTGGTACTAACAATTTCAAGACGATTACATGAGTTTATGTTCAGTGCTGTCATTGGTGCTCCAATGCGATTTTTTGATACTAATCCTTCAGGTAAAGTAATTTTCCTCCCCTTTTGTATCTGCTGCAATTACTTTAGTAATCTTTAATTTCAAAAATCATTTTTAGGTCGTATTTTGAATCGTTTTACGAAGGACATGGGTTCAGTTGATGAAATATTACCTAAAATTATTTTAGACTCTTCCCAGGTAAATAAGTCTTAGGTACTTTTTAAAAATCTGTAAGCACACAATTCTTTTAGACATATTGTTTATTGTATTTGGAACTTTTTGTTGCAGGTTATCTTGAATTTAGCAGGTGCTATAGTGTTGACAGTGATAACGAACTATTTGCTCATATTGCCTCTCATACTCATGTTTATTATCCTTCACTTCATTCAAAAGTTTTACTTAAAATCCTCAAAAGAATTGAAACGGATTGAAGGAATTGGTAAGTTTTAAAAAATTCAAGTCTAAATCCATGAACTTTGGAAACACATTTTTATTTCAATGTGTTAAATGTTAAGTTTTAAAAGATATTTTTTATAATTATGCCTTTGTTTCTTCAGTACGAAGCCCTGTGTTTTCACACATGAATGTTACCTTGCAAGGCATGGTGACAATTCGAGCATTTGGTGCCCAAACCTTGCTCAAAAAAGAGTTTGATAAACACCAGGTATGACTCATATTTTGTCTTTATGTGATTAAATTCTCCTTGTGAGTTTTTGAAATTGCTTATCATATTCACTCAGGATCTTCATACTGGAGCTTGGTTCCTTCATTTGTCTGGCAGCAATGCTTTTTCCTTAGCTCTAGAAATGTCAACATTATGCTACAATATTATTGTCCTGGTCAGCCTTTTTGCCTCCACACAAGGTATGCTTAATTTAACATTCCAATTATGACTTAATGTATATTACTACGGGGAGTCCCTTATGTTTTCTATTCATCTTCCAGTGAACTCAGGTGGTGAAGTTGGGCTTGCCATTACCCAGTGCATGATGCTTTTGGGAATGTTGCAATGGGGTATACGCCAATCAACTGAAGTTGCCAACAACATGATGTCAGCTGAGAGAATACTGGAATATGTTCAATTAACACCTGAGCAAGGAGAATTAAAAGAAGGTATTCCTTTGACTACTGTATTTTGTAATGGTCCTTTCTCTTGAAAAATCGGTTAAAGAATCTAATATTAATTTTCTATCTATATCTAGAAAAGAAACCGGCTAAAGAGTGGCCTGAGAAAGGGTGTGTTAAAATGAATCATGTGTTTTTAAAGTATTCTTTAGAAGACAGTCCTGTTCTGAAAGACCTAAATCTCATTATTCAGCCAGGAGAAAAGGTAACTCACACTTCTAATTTTTGATAAGTTGTCAATCAGTGTCTGATTACCAATTAAAGCACCTCACTCTTTTTTCTTCCAGATTGGCATTGTAGGCCGTACAGGTGCTGGCAAATCCTCTTTGATTGCAACTTTATTCCGAATGGCTATAGTTGATGGTAATATTATCATTGACGATATCGATACGGGAGATGTAACTCTGGCAAGATTGCGGTCATCTATATCCATTATCCCTCAAGATCCAGTTCTTTTCTCAGGAACGATGCGTTATAATCTTGATCCATTTAATGAATATCCAGATGAAAAGTTGTGGAAAGCTTTGGAAGAGGTAAAACATTCAACTCATGTAGCCTTTTACTTTTCTAAAGTTTTTTGTTTGGTGCCGTTGGGAAAGATTTGTGCTTAGTTTTGTGCCCACTGATGTAACATCACTTTTTTTCAGGTTGAACTAAAAGACCTTCTATCAAAAGAAATGGGTTTGAATAGTAGGGTGCTTGAAAGAGGTAGTAACTTCAGTACAGGACAGCGGCAACTTGTGTGCTTGGCAAGAGCTATTCTCCGAGCTAATAAAATTTTGATGATGGATGAAGCTACAGCCAATGTTGATCCTCAGTGAGTAAATTGCTAACCTGTTTAAAAGTATCTTTTATCCAAAGTGATCGCATTTTTCATTTATTTTCTTTCAGAACGGACAAACTTATACAAACTACCATAAGAGAAAAGTTTAGAAGCTGCACAGTTCTTACTGTTGCACACAGACTGAACACTGTTATCGATTCTGATCGGGTATTGGTCATGGACAATGGAACAGTTGTTGTAAGTTCAACTCATGTTGCACCACAAACTGGGTGCCATTGTTTTCAGTTTGGTAATACACTGCTTTATGCTTATAGGAATATGACTACCCTTGGAAACTCCTAGAGCGTCCTGGTGGTATCTTTAGAGGAATGATCAACCAATTAGAAGGGCATGGTGCTGAACAGCTTAGACAAGCTGCCAAACAGGTGAGTTGCTCTTTCTAGTAAGTTGTATAAACTTGATTTTGACTAATTTGTGCTAGTGTTTTTCTCTCTTACTATGAAAATGTTCTTGTTGTCTTTTTCTAGCACTTCAAAGAACTTCAACCTGGAGTGAATAATGAGTCTAAGAAAGAAAGTTAGGAATGTGTTCACCATGTTCACTGTCTGTATTTCATTGCCTGAAATTATTTTTTTCCTTAAAAGTCAATTTGTATTTATCTATTTGTTATAGCTGTCCAATTGCTAACTTTTTGAGAATGTGTTCTATGGTTTGTGTGAAATCACACTGAAGATGAGCCTTAGGATGTTGTATCAGTATTATATACTTCTACTTATTCTTCTCATATGTACAATGAAATTTCACTTTCCTTATGACCAGGAAAGTTAATTTTGTTTATTGAAATACTTATTATTGACGTTGTGATAGGCCCTTAACTTAATGATATGAGTCCAAACTTAATTGCCCTAAACATACCAACAACATATGGGCTATTCCTCTAAATGACCTGCAGTTTGTGATACAAAACAGTAGAGCTTTTCAAGCAAACAAGTTTATTTTCTTGGAGCTACCTTGAATATTTTTATTACCCTACTGATCATTTTATTAGATTGTAACTTCCATTGAAAAGTAATGGATATTTTTCTGTAGCCAAAATTGTGTCTGTGTGAGAGAGAGATGAACCTATTGTAGTTCTCATGCTGAAATCGCCAGCCATTAATTGTTACTTAGAAATCTGTGATTTTACATATAACATACTTTGTTATTGATTTGTTTTTTGAGAACTGTTATTATGAATCTACTTACTCGTGCACTCTTGTTCATTCTTCATGAATGTACTTGCATTTTTAGCTTGACCCATTATGTGGGTTTTTAACTGTGTTGTTATTCGCTATTGTTATGCTGATGGTTGCTTAGCCTAAATTTTTGCAAAAAATTAGGACTTTAATTTTGTATGTGATTCATTGTTTATTGATGGAGTTGTCTCTGAAACTGCCCAGTTTAAAGAAATGAGACTATTTTTATAAAGTCACCTTCTGCTATCGATGAAGCATTTAAAGGAGGGTTTAAATATTTTTTAATCAAGAGTATATCTGTTGTTATTTTTACAATGATTTTTTATTGTGTATTGATCACAATCACTACAATAAATCTTTTCATGAAGACATGTCACCTTTTTTTGCCTTAAAATTCTCCTTAGTAAGACATTTCTAACAAACAGTTTTGTACATAACTTAATTAAAAATTTAAAATTTCCATTCACTCTTTTATCATACAAACTCTTTCATTCAAAATTCCTGATAAATTCTCTACATAAACAATTGTTTCTTCAGTACGAAGCCCTGTGTTTTCACAC